CACCACCTCCTGGGCAGGCAGGCTCAGTGTGCATCTGTTCCACGGGAGCGCGTCACTGACACCTACAACGGTTTGTGAACAAAGGAGCTTTTCTACCTGTAATTTCTACCACCTGGACACAGGTATTTTAATCATCAGAAGGTTTAGTCTCGGAACAAGAGTTGGCATTGCTGCCAGAGCCAAAAATTCATAACTTGGGAAATTTCACCTAAAGTGTAGGAAACAATCAAAGGGCCAATGGAATGGAATTGGGTCACAGGGAGCAGCTCCTTGCAAGCCCATTCCACCCCAAAGGATGCCTCATCAGCAACTGTTTCCACTCAGTTTCCCACCCTCCTGCCTTTCTCGTTCCAGGATTTAGCACCCTGAAATGGGAGAGTGAGAACCCCTCCATTTTCCAGCCAGAAGGCAGGAATTTGAGGCCTGCCTCCACTGTCACGTACTAGCTATACAACCTCTCTGGGCATCAATTTCCTCACCTGCAAAGTGGTGCCGATGGCACTAACTTCCAGGGTCGCTGGGAAGATTGACTGACATAATAGGTGTAAAAAGCTGCACAAATATTAGGTTTATTTCTAGGACTTATGACCAACCTGAGTAAATGCCTGCATGCGTATATGCATAGATAAATATAGACATACACAGTGTTCTCCTCTGCCCACACCTTTCCCTCGCATGCACAACCTCCAGGCTGCCCACTATCTGACACTTTCTATCCTAAGGCACTCCTTGGGCGAATCCATGCTGACTCACTCCACCTCCTCTTCCCTCCTAAGAATTCTCTTCCTCAGTGCTAACATCACCTCCTCAAAACCAGGATACAAGATTCTTTTGACCACTACTTACTGCTATTCTGCCCAATCTTAGATTTCATAAATTATGACAAACTAAAATCAAGTTCTAAGAAAATAACAATGGTAGAAAGGAATAAATTATCAGATGTCCATGTCCAACCAAAGGAGTAAACTTTCAAAAGAAAATGCTCAACACAGATACTGATTGTGTGCACATCTTTGTTGTCTCCCATGGCCAAGTTCAAATGCCATTTCTTCTCTATCTTTTCCCCTGAGTTCCCCTTCCCTCCCAACACCCTCTCTCCCATAAACACACACGCAGCACACAGCAGAATCAGTTCATTCATCTGGACGCCTGGGTTCTTTATGTATACTTAATATTTGTAATAACTTTTTGTGGGTCTATTTTTTGGGTGGAGTAGGAGATCCTAGAGGGCAGGGACCCTTATTCATTGTGACTCCCTGATACCTAGGGCAGTGCCCAGAATAATACAGTAGGACCTCAAGACATATTTTAGCTGAACTTTAAAACCAATCAATCATGGACTAAACACACACACAGACACAGACACACATACACACTCCATCTCTGCTCTCAGGAATAGTCAGGCAAGACATTTACCATAATTATGGTACCAGCATTTCAACTGTAGACGTTTTCTAAAATTATTATTTGGTGAGGAAGATTCGCTCTGAGCTAACATCTGTTGCCAATCTTTCTCTTTTTTTGCTTGATGAAGATTAGTCCTGACCTAATATCTGTGCCAATCTTCCTCTATTTTGTACGAGGGTCGCTGCCAACAACATGGCTTAATGAGTGGTGTAGCTCTGTGCCCGAGATCTGAACCTGCAACCCTGGCCACTGAAGCGGAGTGTGCCAGACTTAACCAATACACCACAGGGCCAGCCCCAACAGATTTTTTTTCTTTTTTAGGATTATGACCGTTTACAACCTTGTGAAATTTCAGTTGTACATTATTGTTAGTCATGTTGTGGGTACACCACTTCACCCTTTGTGCCCTCCCCCCACCTCCCCCTTTCCCCTGGTAACCACCTATCAGTTCTCCTTGTCTATATGTTAATTTCCACCTATGAGTGGAGTCATACAGAGTTTGTCTTTCTCTGTCTGGCTTATTTCACTTAACATAATACCCTCAAGGTCCATCCATGTTGATGTGAATGGGACGATGTTGTCCTTTTTTATGGCTGAGTAGTATTCCATTGTATATATACACATTATATCTTCTTTATCCAATCATCAGTTGCTGGGCACTTAGGTTGGTTTCACGTCTTGGCTATTGTAAATAATGCTGCGATGAACATAGGGGTGCATGGGACTCTTGGAATTGCTGATTTCAGGTTCTTAGGATAGATACCCAGTAGTGGGATGGCTGGGTCATAAGGTATTTCTACTTTTAACTTTTTGAGAAATCTCCATACTGTTTTCCATAGTGGCTGCACCAGTTTGTGTTCCCACCAACAGTGTATGAGGGTCCCTTTTTCTCCACAACCTCTCCAACATTTGTCACTCTTGGTTTTGGATATTTTTGCCATTCTAACAGGTGTAAGGTGATATCTTAGTGTAGTTTTGATTTGCATTTCCCTGATGATCAGTGATGATGAGCATCTTTTCATGTGTCTATTGGCCATCCGTATATCTTCTTTGGAGAAATGTCTGTTCATGTCCCCTGCCCATTTTTTGATCGGGTCCAACAGAACTTTTTTTAAGCAACATAAATCAGCTTTGTAATTCTCACATACTGAAAAAAATATACGGGGTTAATGAACCTAGGAAATTAGACAGGAAAACGTTTTTAACTTGAAATGCCATTAATTCTGTAAAGTTGTAGCTACAGTAGTAAATTATAGTAAATAATAAACAGTAGTAAATTGTTTTTATATACATGTATTTTTTCAGAACTCCATCTATCTCAGAAGCCCTCCATATATTCCCTCCCCTCCCCATTTAAGAAAGGTACTTTTCAATGATTGTCTCTTAATAAACTGTATCTTTACATTATTTCAGATTTTTTAAATGTTTCAGACTTCATATGGAGTTTTTATTATTTCAAACTCTTTTTTTTTGCTGAGGAAGATAACTAACATCCCTTGCCAATCTTCCTCTTTTTGCTTGAGGAAGATTGTCCCTGAGCTAACATCCATGCCAATCTTCCTCCCATTTTATATGTGGGACGCCACCACAGCATGGCTTGATGAGCAGTGTGTAGGTCTGCGCCCGGGATCTGAACCTGTGAACTCTGGGCTGTCAAAGCGGAGCGTGCAAACTTAACCACTATACCACCCAGCCAGCCCATGTTTCAGATACTTTTAAACATCAGTTTACACTTTTTCCTTCTGAGATAACTGCAAAATTGTTTTTTCTTTTGGCCATGTTCCTCAGGAACTAGAACTAATTTTAATAACCACTTTATTCAATCAACAAATAATATACTTAAGATGCAGGAATAAAAAATAGAATTTCTCCTCTCAAAGAGTTTATAATCCAGTAAGGCAAAGAGACAGGCTAATAACCAATAAGAATACTGAGACATGATAAAGATATATAGAGTGTCACTGGAGCCCAGAGAGACCATCACTAATACTGTCTTTTTTGTTTGTTTGGTAGAAGAGAGAGAAAGAAGCCCGTCTGAAGGTCACAACTTCACAACTTATTATTTGGGCCAGGGCGTTTTAAAATAACAGCAACAAGAGTAGTATGTACTAAATTACAATGCTATTTTTCAAATCCATAGTCTATCATAAACAAATTCTCACTTTCCAGCAACACAGGCCTTCACTGTCCTGTGACTATAGACTATCCATGTCTGAACTATTACTCTGAATTCCTGGGGCAGTTATAGTCCCAACTACATTAGTTAGCATTTCATCAATTCACTCCTTGTATCATCCAACAGATATTTATTGAAGATCTTCTAAGCGCCAGGCATTATTCTAAGCACTGGGAATCCAATGGTAGAAGACAAGACAGACATGGTCCCTCTCCTCAAGGAACTTACTTTGAGAAGTGGCAGGTAGGGGGAGATACTGGAATAACAACTAAATAAATAGAGAAGAAAATTTCAGTGTGTGAAAGGTACGATGAAGGAATTAAGCAGTGTGAGGAAAGTAACAGCAATGGTAGTCACAGAAGGTCTCGATTTAAAGATCTGGAGTAAGAGAATTTCAAGTAGAGAGAACAGCAAATAAAAGACCTCAGTGTTTGGGGGGATCAAAAAGTAAGGCAGTGGATGGCAGGGTAGTACGAGAGTGGTAAGTGTTAAGAAATAATTTGGAGAAGTAAGCAGGAGCCAGAGCATGGAGGGCCTCAAAGACCTGGTAAAAAGCATGGGGATTCTGTACTAAGTGCAATGAGAAGCCACTGAAGGGTTTTATTTTATTTTATTTTATTTTATTTTATTTTGAGGAAGATTAGCCCTGAGCTAACTACTGCCAGTCCTCTTCTTTTTGCTGAGGAAGCCTGGCCCTGAGCTAACACCCCTGCCCATCTTCCTCTACTTTATATGTGGGATGCCTACCACAGCATGGCTTGCCAAGCGGTGCCATGTCCGCACCCGGGATCCGAACCGGCGAACCCTGGGCCGCCGAGAAGCAGAACGTGCCAACTTAACCACTACACCACTGGGCCGGCCCCTGAAGGGTTTTAAAGAAGGGAGTGGCAGATGGTTTACATGTGTACAAGACCGCTCTGGCTGCTATGTGGCCAGGGGGCCGCACAGAGGCAGGAGTGAAAGCAGGAGAGAAAAAGCTGTGACGAAGCTGCTGTAGTTGTGTAGGTTAGCCACGGTGGAGGTCTAGCCCAGGTGGCCAGTGGCGATGACAAGAAGGGGAGCAATTTGGGATTTAGAAGAAGATATAACCTGCAAGACCCCCTGATGGACTGGATGTGGATAATGAGAGAAGGGGAAGAATCAAGGATTATTCTTAGATTGCGGTTTGAAAAGCCAGTGAATTATTCTATTTACTAAGCTAGGGAAGACAGGAGAAGGAACAGGTTGGACAGGCAGGTGTGTGTGGTGGTGGTGGGAATGGAACTCAAGAGTTCCCCTTTCAGTATGTTAAAAGCACACAGCATATTTGATATCAAGTGGGGATATCAAGGTGGAGATGAGCCTGGAGCTTGGACAAGAGGTGCAGGCTAGAGATTTAAACTCAAAAGTCATCAGTTCATAGATGCTATGAAGTCTGTAGGACAGGAAGAAGTCACCTAGGAAGAGAGTAAAGACAGAGAAGAGAAGAGAAGAGGAAACAGCCCAGGGCTCATCCCTTGGGCATTCCAACGTTCAGAAGTCTAGAAGAAAAGAAGGAGAGAGTAAAAATGCAAGAGAAAAACCACCAGTGACATGAAAGAAAACCAGGAACTGTAGTGTCACAGAAGCCAAACAAAAGTGTTCAAAGGAAGAGGAAAAGAGTGTAATCACATAAGAGCGTAATGTATGTAAGATTAGGACAGGGAATTGGCACTGAATCTAACAACAGGGAAGTCACTGACGACCCTGACAAGAGCAGTTTCAGGGGACTTGAGGGAATGGAAGTGGATGGTGATGACATGATGAAGTGGAGACAGTGCGTAGAGAGCAGGGGTCAGTAAACGATGGCCTGCGCGCCAGATCCAGTCTGCCACCTGTTTTCGTAAATGTTTTCTTGGAACACAGCCAATCCCATTCGTTTAGTATTGTCTATGAATATCTTCACCATATAATCCAGAGTCGAGTAGTTGCAAGAGAGACTATATGGCACCTGAAGTCTAAAATAGTTACTATCTGGCCCTTAACAGAAAAAGTTGGCTGACCCCTGGTATAGACTATTTTTCAAGAAGTTTTTGCTATGAGAAGACAAGAAAAATGACGCCATGGATGGGATGAAGGGAGGAACTTTTAAAGATGAGAGATGCTTGTGCATGTCTATTGTGGGAACCATTCAGCAGAAGAGGAGAAAGTGACCTGGCAGAGGGGAGGTAATGGGATAATTACAGAAGAGTAGGACTTTTTAATAATTTTCCTGAATTGTGTAGTGTGTATTAGCTCTCTACCAGGGCTGTAAGTTAGAGTGTGGACAAAGAATATGAATGGCATTCTTCTACCCCCTATAATCCAGGCAATCATCCACTCTGTTGCCAGAATGGCAGGCCTAGTTTATGACTATTGTCTTAATATAATTATTAATAGCTCCTTGCTCACTCTCAGAAGTGACTCTGGTGATAAATCATATGGTCACCTCATCTATAGCATCTAACCAAAGCTAGAGCACAGTTGGAACACAACAAATATTTGCCAACTGACTAAAAATACTGTGGAGCACTTTTCAGAAGAATACTGTTAAGTGCGGAGACTACTGCTCTGAATGAGGTGTGTTGACACCCATGGTTTGCCCTAACTTCAGGCACAGTTATAAGCAGTGGTTCAAAAACAGAGCATCATACTTTCTCTAACTGTTATCTATTTGGCTAATATGGTATCTAATGCCTAAGATGCTGCAAGGGGTCAGTAAATTCTAAACCCACTGAAGCCTCCTAAGAAATGTTGGGTCATGATGTAAAAAAGTATTACAGAGGCCTCTGCAGGCAACTGCCCACCAGAAAGGACTTACTTTTTGCGGCACGATTTGCACAGAATTCTGTGATGTTGTCGGTCACATCATGTTACAGTGATGTGCTCATGGGATTGTAACCACCATCTTCTAGCCAAACACCCTAAGATATAGGACATTCAGCTAAGAAAAGCAAAAAGGGCCACGTTCTATTCTTGGATCTAAGGTCTGAAGCAGTTTGCACGATTCCTTCTCAGAGAAAGGGTTTCTATTCCTATTTCTCCTTATTCTCAATCTGGCATCCTACCAGAACTGTCTCTGCTGAAGGTACTTTTTTCTCCTAGCAAACAAATAAGACTCACACAATCTTACATTTCACAGACTTAAAGAAAGATAAACTGTCTGCCAGATTCTTTGGGGGCTGGAATACTTTCGCTTGTTATAACAATGTACTAAATTTAATATAATTCATTTTCCAGAGTCAAAAAGGTACTTCTGAAGCATTCACTTCATCAAGCAAGTCTATTCTCAACACACATCCTAATATTTGATATCTAATGTCTGATAATCAATTACATAGGAAGAATGTTTTGCAATTAGAAGAACCATAAGACCTATAAAAGGTTAAGATTTTATTTTTAAAAAATACTAAAATACTTTTACTTAGTACCTGGCTAATAAGAAAATGTGCTGAAAAGAAAGATTCTGGCACTGTCCTTAGACACTCTTTAAAATAAAATGGGGCTACTTTTCCATTCCAAGCTGTATGTAGATTAAAAACAAAACTAATCACCCCAAAATGTCTGCTTTCAAACTATCCTTACCGGAGTTTCTGAATTGAGCACTGCCGCAGGGCTCCAGTCTGCATTCAAGGGTGTTACTAGGAAGCAGTTACTGTAGTGGTCCTCTTTAGCAACTCAAATTCTGCAGTTGGGAGATGCAGAGCAACCCACTGAGCTAGCCTAGAAGACTCAGCAGAACCAGTTACGCTATCTCCGTGTTTTCGTGCATCATTAACTGTAACCATTATTCTTAATTCTCCTTGCCTCCTGACGTAGACTCTGAACAGGCTACCAAAGCCACACTAGGTCATGTGTGCAGGAGATAAGCAGTGTGGAACTTGGCGTAGACTCTACTGCTTTCTTCTTCTTTCGTCTTTTTAATTTTTTTTTAGAATTGTTGTCTGCCACCTGTGTAGATAGAGGGGGTCGAAGCCAATGGAAGTGCCTTGAGAAGTGAACATCCCCTCTGGCTCTTAGAGGCATCTAATCTTGCAGTTTGCTCTATTAGAGAATCACACTGCCTTTATCCTGTGAGTCCACAGGCAGCTGTTAAGAGATTTTAAACTGAGATCCCATTTGTTGCCACTGAGGAAGGAGGAAAAGGTTGCTCATTTTCAGAACTCGAATGGCTTTATGTTCTTTGAAAAAATGAGATGCTAATATTCAAGGTTACTGGGAAGAAAATTTATTTTTCCACTATTCTGCTATCATTTTTGTTGTCTAACTTTACATCTGTCTGCCAGTTCCCTTCCTATTGTTTGGAAAAGCAATACATTGTCTTAGGAAAAAGCAAGGGTTTTTGAGCCAGCAGACCGAGATTCAAATGCCAGCCTTGTCATTTACTATGTGATTGCTGTTAAGCCACTTAACCTCTAAGAGGCAAAGGCTCATCATTTCTAGAACAGGAATAATGGCACCTACCTCAAAGGTTTTGTGATAGGAAGGAATATAGGGCTTAGCAGTGAACACTGTTGGAACTGTTTACCCAGTACTCTTCCTTCCTCCCAGGAATTCTCCTTTCACCTGTTCTTATAGAGTCTGCTGTCCCAGAGGCAGACCAGGCCCAAGCTTGGCCAAATGGAGTTTTCTGTAACTTTCCAGAACAAACTGGGAAAGAAATTTCACCTTTCTCTGGCGGTAAGAGCCCCAAGATGTGAAACTGAGTTAGACTGCAGCACAGTTCCCCAGTAAGGGGAGGAGAGTGGTCTCCAGGTAGAAATGATGAAGCTAACACACAAAGAGACAGACACAGAAAGAGCCTGAGCAGTATTCCACTCCTGGGCTGCAGGTGTTTGACAAGTCCAGCTGTGACACGACTCTTCCACAGTCTGACTGTCCAACTTCTCTTTCAAAACAAGACACAACAAGAGCCTTCTAAATAATCCCCCTTTTTGCCTAAGCTAGTTTGAATCGGGATTTTGTCTTCTGAAACCGAGAGAGTCCTGACTGAGGACTCAGGTCACAAAAGGGGCTCACTAAATGGCAACTATTAATATTTCCAGATCTCCCAGACGGAATGTAATATTTCAGAAGAGACTCTCTCTCTAAGAGCCAAAGGTTGCTGCCCCATCTTTTAGAGCTTTGTAAGTAAGCTAGTTAAGTTCAACATCGGCAGGCATATGCAGAAGAATGGCTCATGGATCAGGGGGGTGGTCTCTTTGAACCATGCTGACGATGAGACATTTTCCAGGAAAAAAGTTTCAATCTTTTGTTCTTTCCTTCAATAAAAAGTGAGTGCCTACTATATACTGTGCTAGATACTGAGAGAAAAAGATCACTAGATGGGGACACATCTTTAAAGAGCTTGTCAGGAATACATAGAAGAAAAAGAAATAACTATAAGATCAGAATGTACAAAGAGGTATGATTAAGAGTGCCATGATCATTTAGAAAGCAAGAAACTCCTCAAGAGAGCAAAAACATTGCTGAGGGCCACCACATCTGATGAGCCCTCAACAGAGGGCCCCGTGACATCCACTGAAGGTAGACTTCTATGGATAAGTAGCCTCTATTTATGGAATGTTCCTTCTTTTGTTACTACTGGCCACCCTGGCACCACTGAGAGCTGTTGCTATGGAAACAGGGCATCCCCAGCTGCAGCAGAGATGCTTTAAGAAGCCTCAGCAATAATAACAACACAGCCCATTCTCCACAATGGTGCCAAACAGTAGCAGTGGCTACAGGTATCTCACAGCCATGGATGGGTGTATGTGTGCAGCATTGTGCTTCCCTCTGTCCTCGAACACACCAGGTACCTTCTAGGTTTGGCAGCCCTGGTCAAATGCCAGATGGTCACCCACCAGATGAGAATCATTGGTGTTAACACTAATTCCTCCATAGTCAATTCAGGAGCCTTGAGTATAAAAGGGCTTTATTTAAAGTACAGACTTCTTTCCACATCTGCGAACCAAAAGAATGTAAAGGGCAAAGGGAGTAATTCTCACCTTATTTGTTAAAATGCTCTGTTCCAGCTAAGTTACTTTTATTTATGATTTCTGCAAACCACTCCACTGAAAACATGAACCAAAGAGTTCATTTTTATTGTTTTTAGGAGGTAAGCCAGAAGTTGAAGTCACAAGACGAGGCAGGGACACAAATTCAGCAGTGCCCAAACAAGACTAAACATTCACATTTTAAAGTTCTGCTTCTATCTGATATCATCCATAACTTAAACTACGTTAGCCCTGAAGCAGCTGGGCGTGGCGAATGCATTCATGCACAGCTTCCTTTGATGAAATGTAACCCTGGAGAACGAGTGCATTTAAAGCAACAACTCCAAATGCCAAAAGAGAAGAAAATGTTTAAGCAAAAGTCTCAGCTGCTTTTGCTGAATAAAAGGTACAGAAATTCAAAACTTTAGGAAATGGGGCACATCTAAAGGAATAATTTGTCCAAGTTTAACAAAGGCCTACTTCCCACAAATATCTAGGACTTCCCAGTTGCCAAGTTAAAGGTTGCTTACTTCATTCTAACCCCCCGGATCTTACTATCACTTCTAATTTGAGTCACCTAGTAACTCTCATCAATAGCATGGGTCTTCACTCAGAAGAGAACACTCTTTTGTGGTGACATGTGGATGTGCCTTCAGCTGATTTTTAGAGATACCTTCTGCACCAAATGCTCCTCAGGCTGTGGACCTCCTTGAGGTTTCATCTGGATGACTCTCTCTTCCTATTTCACCTAACCCCCTCCAGTACCACAGGTGCGCAGTGAACACACGGTGCTCTCCTTTCACCCTTCAGCGCTTCTCTCAGTCCAGTTTCTTCATCATGCTGGGCAGGACCCAGCTGGTTATGGACGCCATGGTCACTGCCAATGCTTGGAGTCCCCTGTGAACCAGTTAGCTTTTCAGGTTCCACAGTGAAAAAAGTAGCTTCCAAATCTGCTTTTAAAGTTTGTCACTGTTTAAAAAGAGAATTTGGTATAGACAATTATGCAGCATACTGGGAATGAGAAAACCCAGACTAACTCACTGAGTGTGATTTTGGGCAAGTCATAGAGCCTATTGAGCCTGTTGAACACTATATGGCCTGAGCTACGTCTCTGTGAGGATCAAGTAAACTAACATACGTAATAATATTTTGTAGAATGTAAGGTAAACTTAATTATATTGTAATAAAACATTAGAATTATAAATCAAGATAAATGACTCAAAATGTACCTTCTGCCAAAGCAACCCAAAATGTGTCTTTGCTTGTAGTCAATCAATGAAGACATATTAGCCTGACAATAGTATAGTCTGTTGTTTTTTTTTCAGATTGGCACCTGAGCTAACATCTCCTGCAAATCTTTTTTTTTTTCTTCTTCTCCCCAAAGCCCCCCAGTACATAGTTGTATATTTTAGCTGTAGGTTCTTCTGGTTGTGCTGTGTGGGATGCCATCTCAGCGTGGCCTGATGAGTGGTGCTAGCACCATGCCCAGGATCCGAACTGCCGAAACTCTGGGCTGCCAAAGCAGAGGGCGCGAACTTAACCACTTAGCCACTGGGCCGGCCCCAATAATATAGTCTTAATTCTGGAGATCTGGGTAACTCCAGGGCTGACAACTGCTACTGGAACCTGACCACAAGATGCTAATCCAGTCACCAGAAATCTCCAAAGATCTTCTGATCTCCAAGTACTCAGTCAGGACAAAAAATGGTGTGACACTTGGCCTAGCAGAAATGATATTATCAGAGGAATAACAGTTGGCTATCTGTCTATACTGCTCCCATGTGACTGAGAACAAGAAAAGTTCAGAGGTATGACAAGGAGACAGGGGTGAGTAATTAGGTCTGAGATGCGATAAAGATCCCTCAGTTCACCTCTTCTTTTGCTTTATAAAAGACAGTATTTAGATCATCAAATTTACCTGTCTGTATGTATATCTCCAGAAGAAATGTCCCCCTTCTAGTTGGAGGCCATTATGAGCGTAGCACTAATACATTTTGCCTAACATTCATATTCTAGGTATCACATACAATAGCTAGAGATGAATACAGAATCTGTTCAGAGAATCCACAATATAACATGGAAACAAAAATCAGAAATCCTGGCATGTGATCCAACTCTATAAGAAGGATGGTAAGTATCTTGTATATTTTAGAGCTTTAATCTAGACCACTAAAGAACACCAAACCAAAAAGACTAAAAAACTATTATCTCTGGTTTTGCAAAATTAATCTCCTTCCAGAGGAGACCTCAGAGTCCAAATTAGAGCAAAGGAAATTTTATAGCTATATTACAGACTCCTGAAAATAGGGATTTATAAATGGAAATGTTGACAGAACAACCACAGCACTGAATTCATGCTGCTCTGAATTCCGTATTTCCATGGAGGAAAGAAGAAAGAGGAAAAAGGAGGTCAAGTTCTTACGTGAAGACAGAGTTTCAAATTCCCATCCATTGTTTAAAGATATCTGAATGACTTTTTGTGTCAAGGACCCGAAACTCAGAAAGCTTTGCACTGTCAGCAGTAACACTGCAATTTTTCTAATGTGCAACCTCAAACTAAGGATGGAATTTTCCTTCCAAAATCAGTTAACTACTAGCAGTCAAGAGCAAGAGCAGCCTGGGTACCAGCCAGCGCATTACAGTAGTGATGAATGGCATTTTCCTCTTTAGATGCAGAGACTCTAGTTTAAAATTGTGACTGACTTTAACATGGAAACAAGCAGATGGCAAAAGTTATGCTTGACCTTCTTTCTTGGCTCCTGAAGGGTGCCAATTTTTATGGAGATGGCTCAGAAGAATAATAAACTTCAGTGTTCCTTCTTGGCACACTTTTTTCCTAAAACCATTTTCGATGATCACGTTGCACACAAGTGGGATTTGATGTGTTTCTAAGGTCAGGAGGAAAACAGTGCAACTGCTGGACTTACTAACTAAAAGAAATAATCGTGTTATTTTTCTTTTTTGGAGGAGGCAGATCACTATTATTAGTTACTGAACACAAAAACGTAAGACTCTACAGCTAATCTGAACACACAGTCTGTATGGATTAAATGAAGACAACATAGGAACATATGTTTGCCTGGTGGAAAAACAAATCTATTAAAGCTCAGAACAATATGGAAAAAAATGTTTCCAAAGAGATTAAATACTGAAATGATTAAAAATTATCATACGAGCCAGTAGTTCCACACTACGTATATACTGAAAGAAATTAAAAGCAGGGACTCAAACAGATATTTGTAGGTGAAGGTTCATTACAGCATTGTTCACAACAGCCAAAAGGAGGAAACAACCCAAGTATCCATGAAGAGATGAATGGATAAACAAAATGTGGTCTATACGTACAATGGAATATTATCCAGTCATAAAAAAGGAATGAAGTTTTTGAACATGAATGAAAATCCCAGAAAAAACACCAGAATTCAACAATACATTAAAAGGACAACACACGATGACTCAGCAGGTATTTAAGGAGGGTTAAATATTAAAAAAAAAAAACAACCCAAAATGCAAAACACAAAAAGAAACTGAGCTAATCAATCAAATGGAAAAGTCGTATGATCGTATCAGTAGAAGCTGAAAAGGTATATGATAAAATTCAACATCTGTTTTCCGGCAAACATACTTAATGAACCAAGGTCATAAGGATAACTCCTTAATAGTCAAAGAATCTGGAAACAAAAAAAGCCATACTTAGTGTCAGCTCTAGAAGAGAAGGGTCTTTGCTTTGTTCACTGCACCAGCCTCAATGCCTAGACCAGTGCCTGGCATACAGAAGGCACTCACTAAATACTCACTGAGTGAATGAACAAATACACTAACTGCAGTCACTGTCATTAAAACCAGAATAAACTGCCTGCCATTCCTGCTTATTTAACACTGAAACGTTATTCAGAAACAGCATTTCTAAAACTTCTATATCAGGATCCCTTTAATAGAAATTATTGAGGGCCCCAAAGAGACTGGGTTTATGTGGGTTATGTCGATTGATATATAAAACATTGGAAATTAAAACTGAAAAGTTTAAAAAACAGTTGTCTATTAATCCATTTAAAAATAACAATAATAAACCTATCACATGTTAACATAAAAAGCATGTTTTATGAAAAATAATTCTATTTCCCCAAAACAAAGCAAATTTCTTGAGAAGGGTGGCACTGTTTGTGTGTCTTTGCAAATATCTTTCACATCTGCATTACTAGACCCCAGCCGGACTCTCACACACGCTTCTCTATTGAATCTGTTGTGATATGTTGTTTCAGTTGAAAAATACGAAAATCTGGCTTCGCGCAGATATGTAGTTAGAAATGAAAGAAATATTTGAATACCCTTTTCAGGTACTTGCTGACAATCCTTTTTGAAACTACATCTAACCTTGAAAAGTGTAGATTCTTAAAGATTAGTGGCAGTGTGGAATCTGAAATCTTGTTAATGAACTTATCATAATTATGCTACATTAAAACCCATTGGCCCGTTGTGCTTTTGCCTAGGATGCAGAAGCTGGAAAGAGTGTCGCTCTTACATTAACAATGAGAGAAAATAAATAAACTCCAAAATCACAACTTTTCTTGATCCCATCAGAGAGCTGAAGGCAACCAAGTATCCTGAAATCCAAGGAGGGACAGGCTCTCCAAGGAGAGATGGGGACAACTAAGGACTGTCTCATATGTGGCAGAACATAAGGGGAAGACGGGGATGCTATACAGGCAGATAGGAAGGAATCAACTAGAACTTTTAACAAATTACTAATGGCCGAGTGTGGGGCTTGTGCAACAGTCCAGAACCTCTGGGAGCTGCACACTGCACACACAGGGGAGTGTGCACCCACTCTCAGGCCCTTTCCCAAGACCTCTACTGGGTGCTCATGAAAAAATCTGCAGGCAGAGTGGAAGGCCAGAAAGAGCTACCTTTCATTGCGCAGATGTGGAGGAGAGCATTAGCGGGTGCTCTAGGAAAGGCATGAAGCCCTGATAATCTTCACTCTGGCTCAAACCCACCTCTCAGAAGCCTTAAACCCTGAGGGGAAGCCCTGGCAAACGTCTGATGTAGGTCTTAAGAACAGGACAAGAGAACAGGGCCTTTCACCACCTCTGATGCAACAGTAGATATTCTAGACCACGGGTAAGCTCTGTGCAATTTTCATTCACAGAGAACAGCCCACTGAGGAACAGTAAGGAGGCTTCTAGAGCAAATAAACCTACAGTTGCTTTAAGGCAGGGCAGTAGGGATGGAAAGGAGTGAAGCTGATACAAAAGCCGCAGGAACTTGACAAATGCCTGGATGCACGGAATTAGGAACACTGATATTCCTGTGAGTTACAGCAGCAGCAGTATTACTGCCATTTACTAAGCACGACTGAGCCCGGCATGGTGCTCGGTGCTTTTAAATAATCAACTCTAACCCCCACTACCCTGGTATTATCTCTATGTCACAGAGGAAGAATCTGAGGCTCAGAGAAGTTAAGTAACTTGTCCAAGGTCACACAGATAGAGAGTGGCAGAGCCAAAATTTAAATTCAAAGCTCAATTTTTTTCATTTGACCAGGCTGTCATCTAATGTTACATTAGTGACAAAGTCCAACTACCTCAGTCTTTAGAGAATTCAAATAAAATGCTCAGTCCTGTACATGGAGAGAGAAGATAGCTGTTTGGATTCTTTACAGGTTGTCTAAAAATGAGAGATTATTTAGAGGACAAGTGGCAAAGGGTTCCAATATGCAGCAGACATGTCACTCTGTCAAAAAGCGCTATTCAGGCTTATGTGCAATAACCAGGATCAAGGATGGTGATAAGACTGAATTTAGTCACTACAGTGCTGAATGACGGACATTCTATGGGTCCTTGGCCCAACCACAGTCAATAGCACTTCAAAGTAGGCAAAACTCAACATTCACTTGAATTCAACTTGTCAAACAAAGACAAGCCAACCTTGACCTCTGCACCAGGTGTAAGAAATGTTGGTTGGAGAGTGATGGAGAGCCCCAATCAAAACCAGAGACACCGTGCCCCTACAAAAGACTGTGTGCCACTCCAGCACTGACTCCTAGGTCATTCTCAGGCCTCAGCAATTTCTAAAGTCTGGTGCTGTCTGCAGACATTCTAAAAAGTATAGTTCAAAAGAATTAAAAAGAAACCAAAAATGCCTAACCATTCTTGGCCACTAATAGGACAATCTGAGCCTATACTTTGAAAGCTCAATTGCTTTAGATTTAGTATGTTTCAGTAAGAGGAAGCAAGTGATAGCTGCTTTTTTCCCCCAAACTATTTATGGTCCCTTTAAAGCTAATGCCATTTATTTTCTTCCATCAGTGGGCTTCATTTTTGTCCCAAAGAGAGGGTGAGAGAAAGGATAAATGTGAAGCGGTGGAGAGGAAGAATTCAAACCACCCTGCTAGTGAGCTGGCAATTACACATTCATAATCCCACACAATGAAGATCAGTGCTATGCTGTGAAGTCCCACCGTCTACCTACTTCACGGTCTTGGAGAGCACAATTATTTTTGTTCTAACGTGTGAATTAGATGATATGCTAATTTTGAGGATGAAAAGCAAAGAACACTTTCTCCTTGGAAGGCAACATGCTCTGCTTAGTTAATAAATCTGTATAATATCTCTATGAAAAGAGATGAATGCAAGTATGATTAGCTTCCTTTTCTGGGGAAAATCAAGACATGGAAAAATTAAGAAACATGGTCCTGGATAGATACCGAGGACAGGAAGAAATCTTCGTTTTCTGGCCTGGCACTTTGTATTAAAATGAGGATAAGAAATGGAAGAATGATAAGTCTCTAATAGCATGCCACATGGTCTGAACGCTTCCTGTTCAAGCTTTTCATCTACAACTTGAATGAAGACATAGAAGGCTTGTCTGGCAAATGTGCTAATGATAAAATGGGAAGGTTATCAAGATTCCAAAGGGTCTCGACAGGCTGGAAGAATCAAGCAAAACTAGCAAGATGAAACCAGGGTTGAGACCCATAAAGTCCAGCACTTAATTTCAAAGAATCCCTTAAACAAATAGAGGAGGGAAAAGTTGAAAAGCAGTTCATATGAAAAAAGACCTGTGGCAGATACTGCAAACTGTTGGCCCACAGATATATTTTGCTTGGCCTTTGCAGTATTTGCAAAAAACACTAAGCCAACGTTTAAAAATTGGGAGAGTCCCCAAAAAATCCGGATTTCCAGCTTCTTTTGAAAAACTGATAGATCTGGCAACCCTAGGTCTGCATTCAGCCACGACAATTGGTTAGAATTGAGTTGTGGCCGTCCCCTTTAGACAGGGTATCCATTCCCCCAATGGGTGCAGATGGATTCACACCGGCCTGCTGAAGCCATTTAGGTTACTCTTTCAGTGCCGTGGGCATCTGTTTGCAACTCTTGACCTGGGAGTTTCAGATAACTGCCAACTCGAAAGAAGCCATCGGTGTGACAGAGCTGCCAAAAATTTCACCCAATTCAAGGTAATGGAAGAACATTGTCTAAATCAGTGGCCCTTAACTTTTGAAGAGTCACACACTCCTTAGAGAATTGAGAAAAATCAGTGAGTCTTCTCTCTAGAAATACATCTATCCATACAAAAATTTACAATTAATTTCAGGGAGTTGATGGCCCCCCTGAACTCCTAGTTCCCCAGTTAACAAGCCCAGACTAGAAAAGGAGGTAAACTGTCCCACTATATGTTCAGTCTGTCTACTCCTGGCCAGGAACCACATCTTAAGAGGGATGCTGACAAACTGCAAGGCAACCAGGATGATAAAGGGTCTGGAAATTATATCATAAAGTTGAGGAAACTAAGAATGGTTAGCCTAGAAAAAGGAACACTCAGAAAGGAACATAATACTCATTTTAATTTTAGAAGCTGTAATAAGGAAAAGGGATTAGACTTACGCCACTCCAGCTGGCAGAACTCAGATCAATGAGAAGTCACAATCAGGTCCATTTCACTATTTCAGTTCAGTCTAAGAAAGAAGTTTCTTACAATTCAAGCTGTACAAATCTGGAACAGATTGTCCTGAGGAACAATAAAGGAGTGGGTTCCCACCACTGCCAAGTATCCAAGCAGAAGAAGGATAATGAAACGTCAGAGATGTCACAGA